TAGAAGTGTGCATCTTGTTGCTGTCTACTGACGGAGGTAGAGTTGCACATGTAGAAGTAGGTATCTTGTTGGTGTCTACTGACGGAGGTAGAATTGTACATGTAGAAGTAGGTATCTTGTTGCTGTCTACTGACGGAGGTAGAGTTGCACATGTAGAAGTAGGTATCTTGTTGCTGTCTACTGACGGAGGTAGAGTTGTACATGTAGAAGTAGGTATCGTGTTGGTGTCTACTGACGGGGGTAGAGTTGTACATGTAGAAGTAGGTATCTTGTTGTTGTCTACTGACGGAGGTAGAGTTGCACATGTAGAGGTAGGCATCTTGTTGGTGTCTACTGACGGAGGTAGAGTTGTACATGTAGAAGTAGGTATCCTGTTTCTGTCTACTGACGGGGGTAGAGTTGTACATGTAGAAGAAGGTATCCTGTTTCTGTCTACTGACGGAGGTAGAGTTGTACTTGTAGAGGTAGGCATCTTGTTGCTGTCTACTGACGGAGGTAGAGATGTACATGTAGAGGTAGGTATCTTGTTGCTGTCTACTGACGGGGGTAGATTTGTACATGTAGAGGTAGGTATCTTGTTGCTGTCTACTGACGGGGGTAGAGCTGTACATGTAGAGGTAGGTATCTTGTTGCTGTCTACTGATGGAGGTAGAGTTGTACATGTAGAGGTAGGCATCTTGTTTCTGTCTACTGACGGGGGTAGAGTTGTACATGTAGAAGTGGGTATCTTGTTGCTGTCTACTGACGGGGGTAGAGTTGTACATGTAGAGGTAGGTATCTTGTTGCTGTCTACTGACGGAGGTAGAGATGTACATGTAGAAGTAGGTATCTTGTTGCTGTCTACTGACGGGGGTAGAGTTGTACATGTAGATGTAGGTATCTTGTTGCTGTCTTCTGACAGAGGTAGAGTTGTACATGTAGAGGTAGGTATCTTGTTGCTGTCTACTGATGGAGGTAGAGTTGTACATGTAGAGGTAGGTATCTTGTTGCTGTCTACTGATGGAGGTAGAGTTGTACATGTAGAGGTAGGTATCTTGTTGCTGTCTACTGACGGGGGTAGAGTTGTACATGTAGAGGTAGGCATCTTGTTGCTGTCTACTGACGGAGGTAGAGATGTACATGTAGAGGTAGGTATCTTGTTGCTGTCTACTGACGGGGGTAGTTTGTACATGTAGAGGTAGGTATCTTGTTGCTGTCTACTGACGGGGGTAGAGTTGTACATGTAGAAGTAGGTATCTTGTTGCTGTCTACTGACGGAGGTAGAGATGTACATGTAGAGGTAGGTATCTTGTTGCTGTCTACTGACGGGGGTAGAGTTGTACATGTAGAGGTAGGTATCTTGTTGCTGTCTACTGACGGGGGTAGAGTTGTACATGTAGATGTAGGTATCTTGTTGCTGTCTTCTGACAGAGGTAGAGTTGTACATGTAGAGGTAGGTATCTTGTTGCTGTCTACTGATGGAGGTAGAGTTGTACATGTAGAAGCAGGTATCTTGTTGCTGTCTACTGGCTGAGGTAGAGTCGTACATATAGAAGCAGGTATATTGTTGCTGTCTACTGACGGGGGTAGAGTTGTACATGTAGAGGTAGGTATCTTGTTGCTGTCTACTGACGGAGAGAGAGTTGTTCATGTAGAAGTAGGTATCTTGTTGCTGTCTACTGACGGAGGTAGAGTTGTACATGTAGAAGTAGGCATCTTGTTGCTGTCTACTGACGGAGGTAGAATTGTACATGTAGAAGTGGGTATCTTGTTGCTGTCTACTGACGGAGGTAGAATTGTACATGTAGAGGTAGGTATCTTGTTGGTATCTACTGACGGAGGTAGAGCTGTACATGTAGAAGTGGGTATCTTGTTTCTGTCTACTGACGGGGGTAGAGTTGTACATATAGAAGTGGGTATCTTGTTGCTGTCTACTGACGGGGGTAGAGTTGTACATGTAGAAGTGGATATCTTGTTGCTGTCTACTGGCTGAGGTAGATTTGTACATGTAGAAGTGGGTATCTTGTTTCTGTCTACTGACGGGGGTAGAGTTGTCCATGTTGTAGTGGGTATCTTGTTGCTGTCTACTGGCTGAGGTAGAGTTGTACTTGTAGAGGTAGGTATCTTGTTGCTGTCTACTGACGGAGGTAGAGTTGTACATGTAGAAGTAGGTATCTTGTTGCTGTCTACTGACGGGGGTAGAGTTGTACATGTAGAGGTAGGTATCTTGTTTTTGTCTACTGACGGAGGTAGAATTGTACATGTAGAAGTAGGCATCTTGTTGCTGTCTACTGACGGGGGTAGAGTTGTACATGTAGAAGTGGGTATCTTGTTGCTGTCTACTGACGGAGGTAGAGTTGTACATGTAGAAGTGGGTATCTTGTTGCTGTCTACTGACGGAGGTAGAGTTGTACATGTAGAGGTAGGTATCTTGTTGCTGTCTACTGACGGAGGTAGAATTGTACATGTAGAAGTAGGTATCTTGTTGCTGTCTACTGACGGAGGTAGAGTTGCACATGTAGAAGTAGGTATCTTGTTGCTGTCTACTGACGGAGGTAGAGTTGCACATGTAGAAGTAGGTATCTTGTTGCAGTCTACTGACGGAGGTAGAGTTGTACTTGTAGAGGTAGGTATCTTGTTGCTGTCTACTGACGGGGGTAGAGTTGTACATGTAGAAGTGGGTATCTTGTTGGTGTCTACTGACGGAGGTAGAGTTGTACATGTAGAAGTAGGTATCCTGTTTCTGTCTACTGACGGGGGTAGAGTTGTACATGTAGAAGAAGGTATCCTGTTTCTGTCTACTGACGGAGGTAGAGTTGTACTTGTAGAGGTAGGTATCTTGTTGCTGTCTTCTGACGGGGGTAGAGTTGTACATGTAGAGGTAGGTATCTTGTTTTTGTCTACTGACGGAGGTAGAATTGTACATGTAGAAGTAGGCATCTTGTTGCTGTCTACTGACGGGGGTAGAGTTGTACATGTATAAGTGGGTATCTTGTTGCTGTCTACTGACGGGGGTAGAGTTGTAGATGTAGAGGTAGGCATCTTGTTGCTGTCTACTGACGGAGGTAGAATTGTACATGTAGAAGTAGGTATCTTGTTGGTGTCTACTGACGGAGGTAGAATTGTACATGTAGAAGTGGGTATCTTGTTGCTGTCTACTGACGGAGGTAGAGTTGTACATGTAGAGGTAGGTATCTTGTTGCTGTCTACTGACGGAGGTAGAGTTGTACATGTAGAAGTGGGTATCTTGTTGCTGTCTACTGACGGGGGTAGAGTTGTCCATGTTGAAGTGGGTATCTTGTTGCTGTCTGCTGGCTGAGGTAGAGTCGTACATATACTTGTAGGTATCTTGTTGCTGTCTAGTGGTGGGGGGAGAGTTGTACATGTAGAAGTGGGTATCTTGTTGCTGTCTACTGACGGGGGTAGAGTTGTACATGTAGAAGTGGGTATCTTGTTGCTGTCTACTGACGGGGCTAGAGCTGTACATGTAGAGGTAGGCATCTTGTTCCTATCTATGGCCAGGTACCGTAAAAAGAAACGGTTGTGTATATAAGTGTGCTGGCATGGGTGAAGCTCAACACAGATCTGCAGTTCCTGTAACTGTTGTCAGAGCACCTGCAAAATGACCAGTGTATGATTGTTCGCAGTCCGTCGAGTTTCTGTTGCGCAATGTGCTGTGTCATGGTCAGAGCACATGGTTGTCTCCGGTCGGAGCACACAATACCATGCTTGCATCTCCATATACAGGGGTAAGGAGGAGTGACCTGCACAAACAGGGTGAAGTCGTGGCTATCAGGAGACACTTAATTAACATTTGATGTTTGTGCCCCCGTGACCTCTCCCTGTGTGTTACGTCGAATCCGGGGCTTATCGTGTTAAAATCAAAAGCTGTTTGAGTTAGACCAAGCGTGTTAAATGTTACTTTGTTGGCACATACCCCGCTACAGTGTGCAAAGCACATGTGTATTCCTAACAGTACACCTTTCATAAAGGTGTATAACACATGGCTGTCGTCATGAGCTTCGGTTGTGCAAGACTCTGATCTAGTTTGGCAGTCTGCTGTGCACACTGTCGTGAAACAGGCATTATGGGGATTACAGGGTAGACCAGGTTCCCAGTTGCTCGTTCCTGGCGACTGATGACTTGAGTTGGATACAGTGTGGGGCCTGGCTGAGTGGAAGGCACATGCTGTCAGAAACTCCCACAAAACCTGTCGATCCTTATATCCACGCATCGTTTTGGCACATGCAGGACTAGTGGCACAAGGCCTAGCTACACTGATACATGGCACAATGTGTATATCGTATATCGGTACCCGGTTATTGAAAGGCCGCTGTCATACAGCTCTGTCGAACACATGGACATACAGGACTCCGTGACAACACATACACCACTGCATCATAATGAAGCATCAGAGACTCTAGTCCTGTAAAGCTACCAGAGTAATGACTCCTTACTCTAATGGATTTTCTTCCAGTGTCGTCACCACCTCAATACCACCTGCAGCCCACATGTGCGAATGCAGTGTAAAACATTCAACCATGCAGTGTCTTGCACATTATCTGTGGTTGCCTAATCACGGAAATACCAAAAAAAGTCAAAATGGCATCCTTCAGACACGACAAGCAATTTTTCAACACTTTTCAGCTACTACGATTTAGTAACAAGTAATAATGACGTTTAAACAACAATTTGAAATCAATTTTACCAATTTATTATATATCCTGTTTCACAAATAATGACAGTGCCAAATATAGGATTTTTCAAAGTGCATTTCTTCTTCCACTTCAAGTAAGTGTAAAATGTTAACATTACTGATACATGACAAAATTGTATTTATTGCCATGTGAAACAAAACAAGAGAAAATAATACATGTTGAAGTAATTTGTTCACCACCATCAGTGTGGATGCACGTGGTCCTTTGTAGGGAGTCGACAGGCTGGCTAGTCATCAAGATATATATGCATATAACGCTGCGACAGTTTCTAGTGTCTTATGGTGTGGCGTTGTCTCCTTACAGAGTGTGACGTCCTCGCCCATCCCGATGACGCTTACATGATACTCAGCAACTACAACGTCACAGCGGGATCCTACGTCGTTGTTGGATGCAGGAAGTTCGGCCACCGTGTGGTTGGTCCAACCAATGTGACTTGTCTCCCAACAGGGGCGTGGTCGGATGCCGTGAAACCAGAATGTAATTGTGAGTATATCTGAAAATTGATCCAACCATTTAAGTGTCTGACAGATCTTTATTCTAAGAACAGTTTTCTCCCGATTTTATGTGTGGCCTATTCCATGAAATATGACTGAGCGTAAACTGTTCTTGAGCGCGAGAAGTTGAAGTGACTGTGGCGTGGCGTGCATGACTGGAGCGTGTTGTGCGTGACTGGAGCGTGTCGTGCGTGACTGGAGCGTGTTGTGCATGACTGGAGAGTTTCGTGCGTGACTGGAGCGTGTCGTGCGTGACTGGAGAGCGCCGTGCGTGACAAGAGCGTCGTGCGTGACTGGAGAGTTTCGTGCGTGACTGGAGCGTGTCGTGCGTGACTGGAGCGTGTCATGCGTGACTGGAGAGTTTCGTGCGTGACTGGAGAGTGTCATGCGTGACTGGAGAGTGTCGTGCGTGACTGGAGCGTGTTGTGCGTGACTGGAGCGTGTCGTGCGTGACTGGAGCGTGTCGTGCGTGACTGGAGAGTGTCGTGCGTGACTGGAGAGTGTCGTGCGTGACGAGAGCGTGGCGTGAGTGACTGGAGAGCGTCGTGCGTGACTGGAGAGTGTCGTGCGTGACTGGAGAGTGTCGTGCGTGACTGGAGAGTGTCGTGAGTGACTGGAGCGTGTCGTGAGTGACTGGAGAGTGTCGTGCGTGACTGGAGCGTGTCGTGAGTGACTGGAGAGTGTCGTGCGTGACTGGAGAGCGTCGTGCGTGACTGGGGAGCGTCGTAAGTGACTGGAGCGTGTCGTAAGTGACTGGAGAGGGTCGTGCGTGACTGGGGAGCGTCGTGCGTGACTGGAGAGTGTCGTGAGTGACTGGAGCGTGTCGTGAGTGACTGGAGCGTGTCGTGAGTGACTGGAGAGTGTCGTGCGTGACTGGAGCGTGTCGTGAGTGACTGGAGAGTGTCGTCCGTGACTGGAGAGTGTCGTGCGTGACTGGGGAGAGTCGTAAGTGACTGGAGCGTAAACTTTTCTTGAGCGCGAGAAGTTGAAGTGACTGTGGCGTGGCGTGCATGACTGGAGCGTGTTGTGCGTGACTGGAGCGTGTCGTGCGTGACTGGAGCGTGTTGTGCATGACTGGAGAGTTTCGTGCGTGACTGGAGCGTGTCGTGCGTGACTGGAGCGTGTCGTGCGTGACTGGAGAGCGCCGTGCGTGACGAGAGCGTCGTGCGTGACTGGAGAGTTTCGTGCGTGACTGGAGCGTGTCGTGCGTGACTGGAGCGTGTCGTGCGTGACTGGAGAGTTTCGTGCGTGACTGGAGAGTGTCGTGCGTGACTGGAGCGTGTTGTGCGTGACTGGAGCGTGTCGTGCGTGACTGGAGCGTGTCGTGCGTGACTGGAGAGTGTCGTGCGTGACTGGAGAGTGTCGTGAGTGACTGGAGCGTGTCGTGAGTGACTGGAGAGTGTCGTGCGTGACTGGAGAGCGTCGTGCGTGACTGGGGAGCGTCGTGCGTGACTGGAGCGTGTCGTAAGTGACTGGAGAGGGTCGTGCGTGACTGGGGAGCGTCGTGCGTGACTGGAGAGTGTCGTGAGTGACTGGAGCGTGTCGTGAGTGACTGGAGCGTGTCGTGAGTGACTGGAGAGTGTCGTGCGTGACTGGAGCGTGTCGTGAGTGACTGGAGAGTGTCGTCCGTGACTGGAGAGTGTCGTGCGTGACTGGGGAGAGTCGTAAGTGACTGGAGCGTGTCGTAAGTGACTGGAGAGGGTCGTGCGTGACTGGGGAGCGTCGTGCGTGACTGTAGCGTGTCGAGCGTGACATCCTTCTTGGAGCAATGCTTATGATTAATTTGGCTGAAACTAAGGTTTTAGACATTTGACATTTGGATGAAATGAGTGGAAAGGTTAAACTGCAAAACCTTTTTAACTACATGTAAGTTGGTCACCCAAAAGGATTTGTTTTATCATATGTGGATACACTGTCTTGACCTATATATCTTGTATGAAAATAAGGTTTTTTCAAAGACTTTGTCATGTTCAGACGTTTAAAAGTCACTTAACTTCAAATCAGCCATTTCACACTTTTTAGTCTTACTTCTACGTTTATTGTTGTTATAACTTGAAAACATGCAAGTGGTGAAATGCAATATTTATGATGAACACACGTTTTGTTCGTTTCTTCAATGTCGCGTGCACCGTAGACCAGTAATGGCAATTATCACGTTCTGGTCCTTTTCAAACAAGTCTGTATACAGCATGCTTAATATGCTTTTTGAAATATAATGTTTTTGATATTCGGATCAATGATTCACTTTAGCGGACTGAGGAAAAACAGGTGATTGGTTCGTGCGATAGCGCGAAGCGGGGGACATATATAGTATTCACTATGAAAAAAAAGTTGGCGCGATATCGCAAGAACCATATTCATACCGATTCTTAAACGAATAAATGTATTTCGAAGAGCAATTACTATAAGAAGCTACGGTGGACAGGTCCGAGTCACTCATAGTAACTTGCTACATGTCGTATCTTGACCCCCTATCTTTGAGGGAAGAGGACCACGTGTACTAGCTGTAGAAGAACAAGAACGTCAATAATTCCTATGTCATATTTCCTACATATGAAGCCCATGTATGTTTACGACGGTTATACAAATATATAAACACTCATGGTGTCGGCCTTCTTTGACAGACGATATTCAGGCACACATGAAAGTTTCAGTCAATAATTACTGGGCGGCCTTTGATTAATCTGAAGTCGTTTCTTTATTTTTTTTATGATGCAAATAATGATATTTATCAGTTACTGTAACATTTAATACTATGACTATTATTGCGTACTGGTGCTAAATATATAACGAAAACAATATAAAAAAAGAGAGCGGGTGTACGGGCTACGATTTACGTACTAGTATCTATTCTTGATATTGTCTTTATACATTACACCCCATCTCCGGTGTCCCCCGCCGTGATAGTGCTGGAATATTGCTAAAAGCGGCGTAAAACCATACTCACTCACTTGTACATTTCACACATTTAAAGTCATGTAGTGCCACAGATCAATTTATACTCTCCTCTCTTTTAGTGTTTTCATATATCATTCAGTACAATTGTGAATTTAAGTTTTTTTAAATAAAAATAAAATAAGAAATAAAAAAAATAAAAAATTCTACCTCCCTATCCATTTTCATTTTTAAAACAATGATGAGGACAGTATAAAGTGCATCGCAATATTTTTTTTAACACAAATTCTTTTAAGATATTGAGCGATAGAACTTCTACATATGGCACTACGTATACGTTATCCTTCTAGAAGTTAGTGTGTGTTGGTTTCTGTCGATGCTTTACTCTGTGTGTTTAAAGCGCTGGAACTATATACAGCTTATATAACATTATATCAATATTGATCTTAGTGGTAATAATTAATTTCAGCTGAACTGAGACCTCACGAATATTATGTTAGCGACGAAGTTTAATACAAATGGCAATAGCACAGTATAGATCGACGTGGGATCCTTTCTATTGCTTCAGCGTGCAGTCATGAACAGTTCTATTTATAAATCTTAGCCGCGGCGCCCGTACTATGAATACAACGTAAACAATCGCGGCTAAACATCACAGTCGTCGTGGCCGAGTGGTTAAGGCGATAGACTAGAAATCTATTGGGATCTTCCCGCGCAGGTTCGAATCCTGCCGACGACGCATTCTTTTTAATAATATTTTGCAACATTTAAAAATGGTGATCACAGGAATACGAAGCTTTACTAAAAAGAATAATTTATTGGCCTCTTAGGATACATGGGACAATAAAAATGAATGTTACGATTCACTCATGTATTCGGTAGTATATAAATGTACAATAAAATAACAGTCATGAACACTGGCAACAGGGTCAAACGATGTCAAAACAATTATTTTGTTATTGTTTCACTGAATATAATAAATAATACATCAACTGTATTCATGAATAAATATATTCATGTTCGTTACCCTATGTTCGTGATATGTATCGTATTCGCTTCATAGCTATTTGTTGCAGCCCTACTGTTTACAGCAGCATATTCCTGTGGTTTGGCGAACAATTTATATCTTTGCTCACCATGAACAAAAAGAGAATGTAAGGGTTAGTGTATTGGGCGTTAAACTTCAGAATCTTTCACCCTCCAAACCGACTGGAGTGGTGCATGACTTCAAATTTTGACAAATCTTTTCAAAAATCGCATCCACATGAACAGAAATGCCAAAGCAACTGAGACGTTTTTTCTGTTTTACTCGGCAAGGGACTGTTGAAGTTTATTATGGATGGGGGTAGGGGTAGGGGTAGGGGTGGGGTGAGATTGGCATCAGGACTGTATCATATTTTGCTGACCCCCTATTTTATGTAACATTCGTTCATTCTCAAGGGAATGTGGAAATAGTCCGTAAATGGTTACATCGTTTCAAGAATACATCCCCGTACCAAGTGACATGTGGCATGGAACACCAAACAATGTGGGTCTTAGAGCACGTGTTCTCGTCGTAGTGCTGATGCCATTCAACCTCCGTTTACAAGGTTAAATTATTATGAATAAGTGTTTCCTTCGACACCTTCTTGAAATAACATTCCACATAATGACAGAAACTGTACACCTTTATCGGGGCAACTCTTAAAAAGATATTTCGGTTGCGCCTAGTATTTTTCTTTCATTTGGCTAAAGAAAATTAGATATAATGCAAACCAAGCTAAGATATTTGACCAGCCACTTAAATCATAGGAATAGGCTTCATTAGAGATTCCGCGTGTTACTATGGCGATCAATGTGAAATATGTTTGAGTCTGTATGAGGCGCCGGTGTTCACGGTGAAGAGTTGTGTCCCTCTACTGAGCCTGGATCCACTGAACGTGGGTTCCAATACCATATTTGGCTCCATTAACGCATCCTTCGTTTGTGAGTATCATACCCAAGCTCGTGAAATACTGCATGTCTAAAGCGGCGTTAACAATCACAACTGACGAATTCATAACTTTCGTCTCGCTCGGAATATACCTAGCGAGCAACTGATATCTGATGCATTGCATACACTACTGTTTGGCCCCGTGTTGTTAATGTCTAGTATGATATATATATGTATGTCTGTGTGTGTCACCAGGGACATGGGAGCTGACGACCCACGAGAAGCTCGTGCTAGGGACATCCATCGCTGCCGGGGCTTTCCTCCTCATCGTTACCATAGCAATCATAATAGCTTACTGTTGCTGCTACAGGCGGATGAGAGAAAGGGAAAACGAGTAAGTATAGGAGCGAGGGTTGGCTGGTTCTAGGTTACACCATATAGCCTCTACAGTGTGGCGAACTTTGACCGACCAATGGATTGACAGCAGAAGGCAGCTTTCTCGTGCTTTACGGCACAAATTTCAAATTGGCGACTACGCTTCGAAACATATTTTGACAAATTCTCGATTACAAATTTGAAACCTGAACAAAAAAAACATTCTGGAATGGCTAATAGATGGTCTAGATTGTAAGGATTCAGTCGTTAAACCCGTAACTATCGTTCGGAATACCCCATGTTAAAGTTTTCGAGATTGCATGATTAGAAATCACATTCCGACTGTCACTTTCATAATCTGGTAAGCGACGCACTGATTGGTCGGAGGAAAGGTTGTTCTGACGTGACCCCTAATGGGATGTCTTCAGATCTTTGTTTAGCGGCAGCGAGAATTAAGATCTGATTTTAATAAGATTGATGTTCTTCCCCTATAGTAAAGATCCACACACATGATGTAACGTTTGCCCTGTATGTCCTTGTGATTGTGGAGGTGTTCCGCAGTGGTATATATAGAGAATATAGTGGTACACACACACACATATATATATATATATATATATATATATATATATATATATATATATATATATATATATATATATGCGATTTTATTTATCATCCAACATCATTCTTCGAACTTTTTTCAATTTGTGGACAGTAATTAGCAGTGTCTTCAGTGTAAAAAGTACTGCTAACAGCTTCAGTAGCAGAGCCATTAGTGATGTCATTTGATTGTGACGTCATGGTAACCAGTGATGTCACAATGGTCTTCAAAGCATTGTGATGTAATTTCATTGCAGCGATATCTACAGTGTAGATATCGCTTGATCCAATCCAAGCGATATCTCCTGTGGGAGCCAGTTTTGGATGATAAATAGAGAATCTCACCCGAGTGTCTTTTGATATCAAATATATCAACACGAGTTGATAAAAGTGGAAAAATCCGAGGCTTGCCGAGGATTTTTGCCACTTTTATCAACGAGTGTTGATATATTTGATATCAAAAGACACGAGGGGGAGATTTTATTTATCATCCAACATCATTCTTTCAACTTTTTCAATGTGTAGACAGTAATTAGCAGTGTCTTCAGTGTAAAAAGTACTGCAAACAGCTTCAGTAGCAGAGCCATTAGTGATGTCATTGGATTGTGACGTCATGGTAACCAGTGATGTCACAATGGTCTCCAAAGGATTGTGATGTAATTTCATTGCAGCGATATCTACAGTGTAGATATCGCTTGATCTAATCCAAGCGATATCTCCTGTGGGAGCCAGTTTTGGATGATAAATAGAGGTTATCACGCGAGTGTGTTTGGGGATGGTAAATATCCTGCATTAGGAATAAACATTGTATTTAGCGAGCCTTGGCGAGCTATATACATAGTGTTTATTCCTAATACAGGATATTTACCATCCCCAAACACACAAGCGTGATAACCTCTTTATCATATAATGTCATTCTTTAATTCTGTGCTTTAAAATCGCTTTCCCTCTCTCACAAACATTACCGAAACATTGCGAGTTTTCCTGGAATGCGCGCATTAATATTTATTACGTCACAGGGTAAGTGATTAGTCAGTCGGACAGTGACAGTAGCCAATATAGTTCCAACTGAAATCTGTTTCTTATACAGTGGCGAAGCAACTTATAGGCAAAACAACAGTTGTTTTTAATTGTCTTTCGCGGCAATCCATCGGTCTGTCCGCTAGAGTAACTGCCCTTTGTCAAAGGGAAGCTACTCTAACTCTAGTCTATGAGACGTCACGGCCACGGTCAGACGTTATTGACAGTCGGTCTGTCCTTTCATAACGTTAAGAAGTGTAGTCAGATGTACACACAGCGACAAAACGAAACAAGGTAACAGTTCAAACATATTTCGGCCGAATCCAACCATTTTGATTTGTGGAGAAGGTTTCAAGCACAGATATGGCTTCTGATCCCGCTTGGCTAGGCCCTCGTGCCCTCGCAAAATTGTTTCGAAATTTATATCTCGAAAGTTGCCAAAACTTATAAAATGCCTTAGCTACGTCACAGTTAGACACTGATTTTCAGTATATTATACTGTTCGTTTGATAATGATAGCAATTATCCCTGTAGTTTATCCAGATTCACGATGGTTAATTCTGACTCGATCGCCGAATGACGAGGGCGACGCCATGCTTGTTTATAAACAGTGAAAGTAGTCCTACTTGACCTTTGATATTTGCATCTCTATCCGCATATGACCCCAACGGATATCGTTTTTATCCGTTGGCTTTATCCTGCCGAGAAACCTACCCATTATATGATAAATGTGTGGCTCAGCCCTAGCCTATGTTCTTCCCCTATAGTAAAGATCCACACACATGATGTAACGTTTGCCCTGTATGTCCTGTTAAATGCCACTTTCCTGGCTCAACCCACACTGGCATGTGTGCTCCCTGACACAGCTAAACCACGAGACTGTGTGTGATGTTGTAGGAACTTCGGCGCCGTGTACGAGGAGCGAGTGACGCCGTCCAAGAAGCACAACTACGACCACTACGGACCGCCTATCATCGAGGGAGGGCCAGGCATCTACCCCGATGCCTACTACGCCTACCAAGAGTACGTCTTGTTCGCCACAGAAACACGCACTGGGTCATAGAATGTCGGCAGATAAGTCGCAAACACCACGCTTGTCATAATAGTCATAATTGGTAACCATGAGGGGCGACCTGGGTGCCGCTGTACAAAGCGGTCTTAGCAGTAAGGAGATCATTACTCCCATACCTTAACATAGACTTCAGCAGTTGTAGCGCTAAGGTTGTTTTGTACAACGACGCCATGTTGTATACAGTCTGAGTATATATGTAGATCGTACTGTCTGTGTATAGATAGTATCCACGACTGGGTGGTCAAATATTGCACATATGTATTTGGTTTATGTTATTGTAGTCCATGAGCGACTTCTAAAAGCTAGGAGTAGGGGGGTGGTCAACCGTGACATAAACATTAACCTGATCTACCGTGTACTTTATGATGTGCAAAATATTTAAGTATGTCGATATATGATGTGTACAATTCGCAGACAACGTTTCAAGGCAAGTAACAGAGAAGTCAATGGAAATCAATTTCTACAACCACCTATATCAAAATGGGTTCGCCCTAACGACTAACGGGAGGTCAGGTTGACTTGGTTGATGCGTGTCATCGTATCCAAATTGCATGGATCGATGTTCATGATATCACTCACTGTATTGTCTGTCCAGACTACTACTACTACTACTACTACTACTACTACTACTACTACTACTACTACTACAGTTACTATGGACGCGACCTGAAGACCGATTGCAAAGCTCATCTTCACTCCTGCACCCTTGAGTCAAGGAGCCCAGTAGGAGACAGAGGAGATGTACACTGCCGTCAAATGCAGTGTCTAGCACGAGATTTGTTAAATCATAGATGAAGTCAGATAACACACACAAGGGGCAGACCATTTGGTTGGGGAGGGGCTGCGATTTCATCGACAAAAATAAATTGTTCCCAAAATTCTTGAAAATAGTAATTATGCTTCATACTGTTGGCTCATAAAACAATATATAATGGCTCGTAGTTTTCAATAAAAACTGGTTTTGCAGCTGTAGCTGAAATAAACTCTGTTCTCATTACAAAATCCCAGCCTCAACCCCGAGAATATCAAATGGTCGGTCCCAAACTCGCACGGCCGCGGGTTGTGATTATCAGACTCCCATTCCCAATACTGATATTACTCGTCCTAGTTTATGTTTAGGGGAACAAAGTAATCTGTATACACGTGTAAGTTCACGGATGTGATCAGGAGTTGACTGTGTTCGTTGTGTTGGTGCAGGTACCCAGAGAACAAGACGTACCCACCCGACATGACGGATGTGTCGGGCCTGGACAGGCCATGGTGAGTCGCTCGACCTGCTATATACCAGACTACTGTTGCACTACAGACCCGTGAACATCCAGGCTACAATTGGTTTTGAGCAACCCATAAGAGGGGACTATCGGGATCGGGTGGTCAGGTTCGCTGACGTGACTGATGCATGTCATCGTATGCCAATTGCGTGGATCGATGCCCATAATATCAGTCACTGGTTGTCTGGTCCAGACTCGAATATTTACAGACCTTCGTAATATAGCTGGAATATTGCTAAGTGCGGCGTTAAACAACAAACAAACATGCAAAGTGTTGCACCAAATCGACTTGATGGTGGATATATGTGTGGGCCCTGTGTTGCTAATACGTACGTCTACCATCAATGTCCTGTGTGCTACAGGGTGAAACAGATGTTTCCTGAATGTGTACTGAAGCAGAAGGCCAAGGAAACTACACAGATCAGTTATGAGATGCCGGTCACTATCACATGGTGACCCTCAAGTGCTACGTCTTCATGAAAACAACAGCTTCCTCAATCAGTGGCTTGTTTGTTTGCGAGGGAAGGAGGAGTTGCCTCCCTTGATGTAGATCATTAGTTCAAGACCATTTCGTCCAGAATAATCCATAATAATGTTGACTGTCATATTTCAAATGAATGTTATAGCTTCACGTTTGAATTCTCCTTGCAGGCTAGGCTATATACCTCGTCCCAAAGTGGCTGATGGGCGATACTACCACTGACAGCCACCTGACTATGGAGCAATAATCAAACCCTTGTCGCCAACTGCACACCTAGGTCAAGTGCTTCACTCTGCAGACACGCAACACTGCAGTGTTGAGATCGAACTACTTGAATCTCCTTGAGGCCTTAAGCTATGAACATAATGATTAATAGCAGTGTGTTCAAACTAGATATTCATTTGTGTGGAGGAATCGCCATACCGCAGTGTCTGCAATGAGTGTGTTGTCTTCTACACAGGCGTAGGGAGCAGGGACCAAGGAACTCCACTTTAGTACTTGATGCCGTGACGTCACTGGCATTGTGTCTAACGAACGTCAGGCAGAGCTGATGCCATAACAACCATAAATGCTGACGACGTCTCCGCATACAGGCGTCTCCGCATACAGATCATGTTGCCATAGCAACATTTTGGCCATGTTGCCTGACTCGTAGAGATTTATTTCGATATAGCAACGATTCTCCTAAACATAGACAGTATATTTTTGTATTCAATGCGTCTTTTTATATCATGTCCAGGAATACATTGAGCATGTGCGAGGGACTTTGAGCTACAGCTGGACTGTGTACCCACACAGGATGTGTCGTGGTTGCGTCCTCCACACAGTGTCGGCGGCCTGTGAAGGCGCGGTGGCGTGTGCTGGCACTGTGAGACACATGGCGCTGACAGACGATATATATGACACCAGAGCATTACGATCAAACAGTTACGATTTTATGTTTTGTAATACACATGTACAGAGAAATGTAAATATATCTATTATTAAAGAAATACAATTATATATGAATGTCAAAGCTGTGCTGGTTGTGTGTGAGGTGTGAGGGGTGAAGCGGGCATCTGAGTGTTGTCCTGTAGCACTGCATAGCCCGGGAACATAATGACTGTTCGTACTGGTTGAACAGCTGCTTCGATGGGGACATATGGCTCTACATATTGGTTGAATAGTTGCTTGAATGGGGACAAATGACTCTACATACTGGTTGAATAGTTGCTTGAATGGGGACATACGACTCTACATATTGGTTGAATAGTTGCTTGAATGGGCACATATTGCTCTACATATTGGTTGAATAGTTGCTTGAATGGGGACACATGACTCTACATACTGGTTGAATAGTTGCTTGAATGGGGACATACGACTCTACATATTGGTTGAATAGTTGCTTGAATGGGGACAAATTACTCTACATACTGGTTGAATAGTTGCTTGAATGGGGACATACGACTCTACATATTGGTTGAATAGTTGCTTGAATGGGCACATATTGCTCTACATATTGGTTGAATAGTTGCTTGAATGGGGACAAATGACTCTACATACTGGTTGAATAGTTGCTTGAATGGGGACATACGACTCTACATATTGGTTGAATAGTTGCTTGAATGGGCACATATTGCTCTACATATTGGTTGAATAGTTGCTTGAATGGGGACATACGACTCTACATATTGGTTGAATAGTTGCTTGAATGGGCACATATTGCTCTACATACTGGTTGAATAGTTGCTTGAATGGGGACATATGACTCTACATATTGGTTGAAAAATTGCTTGAATGGGCACATATTGCTCTACATACTGGTTGAATAGTTGCTTGAATGGGGACATATGGCTCTACATATTGGTTGAAAAGTTGCTTGAATGGGAACATATTGCTCTACATTTTGGTTGAAAAGTTGCTTGAATGGGGACATACGACTCTACATATTGGTTGAATAGTTGCTTGAATGGGGACATATGGCTGTAATTGTGGTTGAATAGTTGCTTGAATGGGGACATATGGCTCTACATATTGGTTGAATAGGGATATATATCTCTACATATTGGTTGAATAGTTACTTGGATGGGGACATATGCTCTATATACTGGTTGAATAGTTCCTTAAATGCTGACATATGGCTCTACATATTGGTTGAATAGTTGCTTGAATGGGACATATGGCTCTACATATTGGTTGAATAATTACTTGGATGGGGACATATGGCTCTACATAATGGTTGAATAGTTGCTTGAATGGGGACATATGGCTCTACATATTGGTTGAATAGTTGCTTGAATGCGGACATATGGCTTTACATATTGGTTGAATAGTTGCTTCGATGGGGACATATGGCTCTACATATTGGTTGAATAGTTGCTTTAATAGGGACATATGGCGCTACATACTGGTTGAATAGTTGCTTGAATGGGGACATATGGCTCTACATATTGGTTGAATAGTTGCTTGGATGGGGACAAATGGCTCTTCATATTGGTTGAATAGTTGCTTGAATGGGGACGTATGGCTCTACATACTGGTTGAATATTTGCTCGGATGGGAACATACGGCTCTACATATTGGTTGAATAGGTAGATATGGCTCTACATTTTGGTTGAATAGTTGCTTGGATGGGGACATATGGCTATATATACTGGTTGAATGGGGACATATGGCTCTACATACTGGTTGAATAGTTACTTGAATGGGGACATATGACTCTACATATTGGTTGAAAAGTAACTTGAATGGGGACATATGACTCTACATATTGGTTGAAAAGTTGCTTGAATGGGGACATATGGCTCTACATATTGGTTGGATTGTTGCTTGAATGGGGACATATGGCTCTACGTATTGGTTGGATTGTTGCTTGAATGGGGACATATGGCTCTACATATTGGTTCGATTGTTGCTTGGATGGGAACATATGGCTCTAAATATTGGTCGAATAGATACTGAGGTGGGTACATGGGACTACACACTACACGGCATAACAGATGAAGGTAAATGCCCTGTAGCGTAAACACAACATGGCATAACTGACAAAGGTGAATGTTCTTGTGGTGTACACACTACACAACACACTACTCGGCGTTACAGATGGAGGTGAATGTTCCAGTGACGTACACACTACACGGCGTTACAGATGAAGGTGAATGTTCCAGTGACGTACACACTACACAGCGTTACAGATGGAGGTGAATGTTCCAGTGACGTACACACTACACGTCGTTACAGATGAAGGTGAATGTTCCAGTGACGTACACACTACACGGCGTTACTGATAGAGGTGAATGTTCCAGTGACGTACACACTACACAGCGTTACAGATGGAGGTGAATGTTCCAGTGACGTACACACTACACGGCGTTACAGATTGAGGTGAATGTTCCAGTGACGTACACACTACACGGCGTTACAGATGGAGGTGAATGTTCCAGTGACGTACACACTACACGGCGTTACAGATGGAGGTGAATGTTCCAGTGACGTACACACTACACGGCGTTACTGATAGAGGTGAATGTTCCAGTGACGTACACACTAAACGGCGTTACAGATGGAGGTGAATGTTCCAGTGACGTACACATTACACGTCGTTACTGATGGAGTTGAATGTTCCAGTGATGTACACATTACACGGCGTTACAGATGGAGGTGAATGTTCCAGTGACGTACACACTACACGGCGTTATATATGGAGGTGAATGTTCCAGTGACGTACACACTACACGGCGTTACAGGTGAAAGTGAATGTTCCAGTGACGTACACACTAAACGGCGTTACTGATGGAGATGTATGGTCCAGTGACGTACACACTAAACGGCGTTACAGATGGATGTGAATGTTCCAGTGACGTACACACTTCACGGCGTTACTGATGGAGGTGAATGTTCAAGTGACCTACACACTACTCGGTGTTACAGATAGAGATTAATGTTCCAGTGACGTACACACTACACGGCGTGACAGAGGAATGTGAATGTTCCAGTGACGTACACACTACACGGCGTTACAGATGAAGGTGAATGTTCCAGTGACGTACACACTAAACGGCGTTACAGGTGAAAGTGAATGTTCCAGTAAAGTACACACTAAACAGCGTTACTGATGGATGTGAATGTTCCAGTGACGTACACACTTCACGGCGTCACTGATGGAGGTGAATGTTCAAGTGACCTACACACTTCACAGCGTTACAGATGGAGGTGAATGTTCCAGTGATGCACAGATTACACATCGTTACTGATGGAGGTGAATGTTCCAGTGATGCACAGATTACACATCGTTACTGATGGAGGTGAATGTTCCAGTGATGCACAGATTACACATCGTTACTGATGGAGGTGAATGTTCAAGTGACCTACACACTACTCGGTGTTACAGATGGAGGTGAATGTTCCAGTGATGCACAGATTACACATCGTTACTGATGGAGGTGAATGTTCAAGTGACCTACACACTACTCGGTGTTACAGATGGAGGTGAATGTTCCAGTGATGCACAGATTACACGTCTTTACTGATGGAGGTGAATGTTCAAGTGACCTACACACTACTCGGTGTTACAGATGGAGGTGAATGTTCCAGTGATGCACAGATTACACGTCGTTACTGATGGAGGTGAATGTTCAAGTGACCTACACACTACTCGGTGTTACAGATGGAGGTGAATGTTCCAGTGATGCACAGATTACACGTCGTTACTGATGGAGGTGAATGTTCAAGTGACCTACACACTACTCGGTGTTACAGATGGAGGTGAATGTTCCAGTGATGCACAGATTACACGTCGTTACTGATGGAGGTGAATGTTCAAGTGACCTACACACTACTCGGTGTTACAGATGGAGGTGAATGTTCCAGTGATGCACAGATTACACATCGTTACAGATGGAGGTGAATGTTCCAGTGACGTACACACAACACGGCGTTACAAATGGAGATTAATGTTCCAGTGACGTACACACTACACGGCGTGACAGGTGAAAGTGAATGTTCCAGTGACGTACACACTACACGGCGTTACAGGTGAAAGTGAATGTTCCACTGACGTACACAGAACTCGGTGTTACAGAGGAGGTGAATGTTCCAGTGACGTACACACTACACGGCGTTACAGGTGAAAGTGAATGTTCCACTGACGTACACAGAACTCGGCGTTATAGATGAATGTGAATGTTCCAGTGACGTACACACTACACGGCGTTACAGGTGAAAGTGAATGTTCCACTGACGTACACAGAACTCGGCGTTACAGAGGAGGTGAATGTTCCAGTGACGTACACACTACACGGCGTTACAGGTGAATGTGAATGTTTCAGTGACGTACACACTACACGGCGTTACAGATGAAAGTGAATGTTCCAGTGACGTACACATTACACGTCGTTACAGATGAATGTGAATGTTTCAGTGACGTACACACTACACAGCGTTACAAATGAATGTGAATGTTTCAGTGACGTACACACTACACGGCGTTACAGATGAATGTGAATGTTACAGTGACGTACACACTACTCGGCGTTACAGATGAAAGTGAATGTTCCAGTGACGTACACACTACACGGCGTTACAGATGAATGTGAATGTTACAGTGACGTACACATTACACGTCGTTACAGATGGAGTTGAATGTTCCAGTGACGTACACACTACACAGCGTTACAGATGAATGTGAATGTTCCAGTGACGTACACACTACACGGCGTTACTGATAGAGGTGAATGTTCCAGTGACGTACACACTACACAGCGTTACAGATGAATGTGAATGTTCCAGTGACGTACACACTACACGGCGTTACTGATAGAGGTGAATGTTCCAGTGACGTACACACTACACAGCGTTACAGATGAAAGTGAATGTTCCAGTGACGTACACACTACACGGCGTTACAGATGAATGTGAATGTTTCAGTGACGTACACACTACACGGCGTTACAGATGAATGTGAATGTTACAGTGACGTACACACTACTCGGCGTTACAGATGAAAGTGAATGTTACAGTGACGTACACATTACACGT